TAAACCTAGGAATCATTTTGGTGAGAATTTACATCTTATTGAATCTGCTCATTTGTTATATGAGTAAAAATAAAACCTTTAGCCTGTTTTGAACTTGAGGTTTCATGAAAATGTTTTGCCTTTTTGGGGGGGGGTCATTCTCCTAACATTTTTTTGTCTTTCTTTTCTTATACTTTGTCCTAAAAGTGCAGAATTTGCCCTGGACAGTGTGGCTCAATTGGTTGGAGCATCATCCTCTACCTGAAAGGTTGCAGGTTTGGTTCCCCGGTCAGGGCACGTACAGGGGGCAACCAACTGATGTTTCTCTTTCACGTTGATGTTTTTCTGTCTCTCCCTTCTTCTCTAAAAGCAATGAAAAAATGTCCTCAGTGAGGATTCAAACAAACAAACAAAAAATAAAACTGCACAACTTTCAAATAAGAGTTAAATTATTTTATGTATTGTATCTCTGGCTGTGTATGTGTCCGTGTTTGTGTTGTGGCTTTCATGATCTGTTATTAGCTTTATTCCTATTTATATGAAATTTTTAGATGCTATTGTAAAAGCAAGTTTTTTTAAAAAAATATTTTCTTTCCATTTGCCTTTTTAAAAAAGATTTTATTTATTTATTTTTAGAGAGGGAAGGGAGGGAGAAAGAGAGAGAGAGAGAGAGAGAAAGAAAGAAAGAAAGACAGAAACATCAATGTGCGAATGTGCAGTTGGTGGGGGCCGTGGCCTACAACCCAGGCATGTGCCCTGACTGGGAATTGAACCTGTGATGCTTTGGTTCACAGCCCGTGCTCAATCCACTGAGCTACACCAGCCAGGGCAAAAAAGCAAGTCTTTTAAGCCTTATTTTCTAATTATGTTTTATTTATGTGTAGAAATACAATTGATATTTATATATTGTTTTTGTATTCAGCAAGCGTATTGAAATATCTTATTACTTCTTAAAGTTTAATCTGAAAATTCTTTTGCATTTCCTATACAAAAAACCATATCATAGGTAAATACTCTTCTTATTTTTTAAGCTGTTCTGCCTGTGTTTCCATAATATATTTTAAAATGGTTTTAGTATATTTTTTGTTCCTGTAAGCTATCAGAGCCTATTAGAAATATAGAAAAACATAAAATAATCACTTATAATCCTACCCTTGTGCAGTTATCATCAATTAAAATCTGTGTTGATCTCTATAGGCATTCTAGATAGTTTGTAGCATTGGATCATAAAGAACATACAATTTTTTAAATGCTGCTCCCTTTAATAATAGGCTATAGACATACTTTTCTTAGGGGAAATCCCTAGAAATTGGCTTTCTGGGTCAAACTTGCTGCCAAATTGCCGTCTGGACATGCTGTGTAAATTCTTATTCACTCACACCAGAACTATACTAAGGTTACTGTTTCCAAACACCCTGGCCTGCATTGAGATTCACACCTTATATATATGATTTTTTTAATGCACATTAAAAATAAAACCTATAGCTTTTTTTGAACTTGTGGTTTCATGAAAATGTTTTGCCTTTTTGGGGGTATCAGTCTTTTGGGGGTTTTGTCTTCCATTCCTTATACTTTTGTCTTAAAACTGCAGTATTTTCAAATGAGAAGATCTAATACCCTGCTCCGCTTTTACGGAGGAGGTAAGCCTGAAAGGTTGAGCGATTTCTCAGTTGCCGGCCTCCTGACACCTTTGCAGTTTTGTTTCTGTGTATTGGTTTGACCCTATTTTCTCTGAAATGACACTTTATTTTCAAGACTTTATAATTGTTTTGTTTTTGTGATAGATCAGAACCCATTATCTAATAACAGAATTATAAATATGGCCTTATATTTATCAAGTTCATGTCTCTCCTGACATTCTATGAACCCACTACCCTTTTCCTTAAGTTATCAAGGGTCTCTGTGTAGCAGGTGAATGGTAGCACACATTTCTAGGCTCTTTCTCTGTGAAAGACTCTCATGGCTTCCCTACATACACTGTAATTTGAAAACACAAATTTTCGTCGCATGCCTCATTTGTCTTGGGCAAAGATGAATAAAATATAATTGTTGATTTCATGGATCTCCATCCCATGGGGTACCCATGGCATATGCATGTTTTTCTCTGATAACCTTAGTTCATGGCACGCCATCATTTATTTAGAAGTCTTTCCACTTGTAAGTAGTAAAAGGACAGATTAAAGTATTTCCAGATTGGTGAGCTCTTAAATCTTAGATGGCCCTTTTATGTTCTTTGTTCTTTTTCTTTCTCTTCCTCTTTCCTTTTGCCAGACCTTACCCAGCACACTGATGTTTCTATATATTTGTAAGACAGTTTGCCAACATTTTCTCTCACTTTCTTCATCTCTAGAGAGAGGGGTAGTAGAAACCAACACTCTGTCTTGCTACAGTTTAGTTTAAAGATGTGAAACTCCTTTCACATCTTCCTTTCTCCTTCCCCGGAACTCACCTCAGGACTGAATGTGGTAGAAACTTGAAATCCTCTTTGGTAACTCTAGATTCATAGTGTAACCATTTGAAAACAATTTTTTAAAAGCTACCATTATAGTCTCTTTCTGTTTTTCACTCATGTGTCCCCTTCCCCACCGTCCCCTTCACCTCTCCCCATGGTGGTGTTTAGCTCAGCCAATCAAAGGAAGGAAGGGTATCTGTTGTACAAACTTTTGTGTTATAGTAAGTTAGCCAATACTGCCATTCTTAATTCCTTGTACTACTCTTCATTAAGGTTCCAGCAAATGTTTGTTTGAATGTTAGGTTTATCACAAGTGGACTAGGAGTAAGTCTCATGTATACGAGTACTGCGGGAATATAGCTGGCCCCTTTGTAAATTGTTGTTCCTCAGTGCTATGTTAGACTGCAGTGTTAGAAATGTGTACATTTAAAAAAATAATTTGCTGTGAGAAATTATTGGATATTCAAAAGAATTGTGATCTGTGTCTACCTTAAATATGGGGATGAGGATCTTTTTTTATGGAAATAGATATTAAAGATTTCTATTTGATCAGTTTTTATACTTTTTATACTTTACCCACAAGACAACTTTTAAAGCATTTACACATAAAAGATAAAACATACCATTCTTAAATCAGTAGTTCTTTAATTTTTTTTTTTTACTCTGACTATCATGGTTCATGTCCCTTTTTATGTGTTGAATATTTGGAACTTTAATTTGGGAAAGAAAAATGTGCTTCTTAATCATCACTTCCATAGTGACTGTAATGAAGCTAGACAAAATGCATATTTACACTTCACTATCAATCAGTAGTCTTCTATTATTATCAAAAGTTTTCCTTGTTCTTTTAAAACAACAACATTTTGGTTACCTTAATCAGAGCCTGATGTGTCTTACTTCTAAATGGCATCTGATGTGGTGTCTCTCTTCGGTTTTCTGTGGTTTCCTGTTTTTTTCATACATAGAGAAAAGCCTTTTGATGTAGTTAGCCTCATACTTTTTCTTTTAATGGACTATTAGATCCAAACTCCCTTGTAACTGCAGCATAGTGTTGTAAGCCTGGTTCACCATTCATTTATCGATCTTGCCACAGAGCACTCCTTTGGAATTCCTCTAGCACTTAAATATTCTGCCTCTATATTCCTTAGCATTAGAATCTTATTTATACCCTGAAAATGTGTGCTCTCAAGGACAGAGATGCTATTTTGTATTTCCATAGTAAGATTTCTTCACAGAAACATGCCTTGCCTTAGTAATTAATAGGTACAATAGATCAGTGACTCCCACATGTTGTTCCCAGACCGGCAGCATCAGCATCTCTTGGAAACTTGTTAGAACTGTAAATTCTCAGGCCCCACCAGTCATCCTGAATCAGAATACCTTGAGTTGAGAATCGGCAATTTTTGTATTAACAATCCTTTCAGTGATTCTGGTGTGTGCTCAAGTTTGACGGCACAGCAGTGGATGCTTATTGAATGAATATGAAAGTTGTGCTTTTGCGTGACACTTCACTGGAGGATTGGGATAAGATGGGACCAAGTTAGTCTGTTCTGCTTGAGTCTTTTTTTCTGAAGAGACACTGGTGAAGAAAAGCCCAAGATTTAAATATATCCAATCTTATAAGAAGGTATGTATAAGAGTTATGCATAACTCTTGTACACATAGCTGTCACATTGTGAAAACTGCAGCTTTAAAATGTTAAAAATGTAAGTAATTTATTTCTTCCACCTATTCAGGAGCATCCATTTAACATTCCACAGGAGGAAACTTAACTGTGGAAGAAATAATCAGCGTTACTTGTTTTCATAGTGGGGAGGAGGTGGGTGAATGTTGGAAACTGATCAGGTAGGGCACAGGTTGGGAACCTTTTCCCTGATACCGTTCTGTGCTATTCTAAATTTTTGAACCATGTACATGCATTACCTAATAAAATTTTGATACATGATATCTAATACAAATAAATTAGTGTTTAAAAATAAAATTCCATGTGATAGACATTGTGTGGTTGGTAAAAATATATTAAGATTCCCCTTTGCATTATATAAAAGGTTAGGTCACATGTGAGTTTCATCTCTGTGGAAAATACATTGGGGTGGCGGCTGAAATGTCTTAATGACTTTCAACCTATGTAAGATGGTAGATGAATGGCACAATGAACAAAGGGTTCTATTATGTGAACCCATTGTCTTGTAATTATTTTAAGGCAATAAATAGAGGGGGGATTTAATTTGATTCTAAGTTAAATAATCTTGTATATACAAAGAGGTCAGACATACAGGACTTGGACCTAATACCTTCTTTCACATGTATTTTTAGAAATATCTTGATAGTCAAGTGCTGTTTGAGAGAAAAATTGATTTAGATTTTTGTCATATTCTTAGCAAATGGAAAATAATCCAGTTAGCAAAACCCATTACATGTGTTCTAGATTATGAACAATATTCTCAACTATTTGTCTTTCAGTACAAATGCAATTATGTTAATGTTATGATTGAATTTTGCTGTTTCAATGGAAGGTATGTCTTAAATGACACTTGATTCAATTACTCCTTTTTTTTTCCTTGCACAGAACTATCGTGCCATGGAAAGTATTTAGACAGTGCCTTCACGAGGTCCATCAGATTAGCTCTGGCCTGGAAGCAATGGCTCTAAAATCAACGATTGATTTAACTTGTAATGATTATATTTCAGTTTTTGAATTTGACATTTTTACCAGGCTATTTCAGGTAAGTTTCCATTCACTTAATCCTCCCCTTTCGTGTGTGTGCAGTGCGCACTTCCATTTTTGTGTATGAGTTTCTATCATTCACACGCATGCACAGGCACAAACACACAAACATGTTGGAAATAGTCTCATTTTTGGTAGTGTATAATTTTAAAGCCAGTCACTAAGGTAAGTTTTTAGCCAGTGCTGTAAGTGTAGAATTCTTTTTGATTATCAGGTGCCGTGAGCCTACTGGTTGCTTATTAGTGTTGAAAAGATTCATGCAAAGGAACTTTGTTTTAAATTCCTTATTTAGTTTTTCACTTTACTTTCTTAGTCTTTTTTTTTTTTGCCCAATATTTGATATAGCGCAGCTTTTACATTTGGGCATTTGCTGGGGCTGTATCCCAGCTTCTCTCCTTTGCCTCCACATTCATTAGGTGAGAAGGTAATCAGTCGACTTGGAAATAGGTAGCACATTTATCCTGTTCTGTACAGATCACTCTGGGTGTACTGTTTTACCACTTGATTTGCTCCTTCAGTCAAGTATTATAAACATCTTTCCATGTCAAAAGTATTTTTCAATATACCTTTTAATTTTCAGTTGCTATGTAATATTCCATCAATATATTAGGTTATTTAACAAATTTCTGTTTTGGAAAATTAAGACTTTTTTTTTCTGTTTTCTCCCTAATGTATATGATTTTGAGGTTAACCTTCTGGTGTAGTTTATTGTTTTTCTTTTTTTTTAAGCCAGTCCTTTATAATTGTCTTTACATAGCTATTCAGAGAAGCAGCTTGTCACATGATGAAAGCTGAATGCTATCATTTTACTCTTTCGTGTGTCTTAATGGACTTACCCTAAACATAAAGACCTGAAATTTTATTCAAATAGTCATGTAATGAAAGTGTCCCTCCTAAAATCTTTACAATAAATTATATAGTAAGTAAGGAAAATAGAAATCTGGCTTGTTTATATTCTGATGCATTTTTTACTATTTTAGTCTGTAGTAAGATTTATTCTGTTTAAAACATGCTTTCAACAAATGTTAAGAGTATAATACTGGTTTTCATGTTTGCCATGATGTAAGTATTTTACTTCTGTGGTTTGTGACTCTGTACTAGCCTGTAAAGATTGGGTGACTGATTTATGTAAGAAAACAAGGTTGTGTGGGATTAACTTTTAATTTATGAAAGAACCTGTTAACAGAAGGCAAATGAACTCTTGTCAACAATACTCATAGAATATATTTTACTTTATTACAACTTTAAAGTCATAATTTTGCCTGAACAAAGTAGGATAAGATATTAGATAAATGACTATAAAAAGTGTCCTTCTGCTTATTTTCAATTTAGAGCAGTTTCATGATTTTTCCCTTGGTATGTATAGCTTCTCAGCTTATATAACTTTAAGATAAATTTTAGAAAAGGGTTGTATTAACTGATAATTGATCATTTTATAATGGAACTTCTCCTTTCTTTAAAGGTTTCTGATAATTTCCCAAACCCCTTATTTAACATGGTACAAAGATATTATAAGCAGTAGGGGCTTTACTTCTGCCACTTGTGAAGGAAGAGAACAAGGGTTATTTTCATAAACCTAACTCTTCATTCTAGAAGTATTGTGGGTATTTTTGGGGGGGGGGTGCCTGGATGATTTTTAGTGTGGTTGTTAAATGCTAGAATACCTTAGTTATAAAAAGTATGAGGGCAACTTAATGTTGGTTAAACACTTACCCCAACTGTTATTTAGTATGTGCATATATTTTCTTAAAAGCTGTTTCACTTTAAAATAGCCCAAATTATTTTAATATGCTGTTATGTACATCTTGTTTATTCTCATTGGGATGGGAGAGGAAAACAACCTTTTGAAGCAGAGCTACTGTAAAAAGTTCTAGATAACAAAACCAAACTCTTCTTTGTGGACCAAAGAATGCCTAGTTTCTTTTAAAACACACAATTGCAGAAGGAGCTAAAGAACTCTTATTAGCCTTCTCTGTATTTCTGAGATTATTCACTTCTTTTGGTTTCATTATTCAAATGAGTAATCATACATGTACTTTAAAATGATAAAATTGCTTCTCTGAATAGAAAAGTGAAATAGAATTGTATTAATGTTTACTGATCTTTTCCTTTTTACACAAATTTAAAAATTGAGTAATAGTTTTAAGTCATAATTATGTATTCTGTGTGAAAATGTAGCTTTGTGCACACTGTAACTGCATGAACACACATCCTCCTGCAGCTGCGATACTGGGAGTTAATTGGCAATGAATTCCTCTAGCTCTAAATTGTTAAATATGGGATGTTTAGCAGAGTGGGATCTGAAAGTGGGCAGAGTACTCTCTCAGACTGGGGTCTAACATTGATAACTAGCATATGGTTTGAAGAAGGAGTCAGCAGAGGCTAGGAGATGAAAATGCCTAGGACATGAAAGAAGTGAGAAACTGGATACTAGTTACTAGTTACCCTTTCTTGTTCATCTCTTCCCTCATTGTCTTATTTTGCCAAAACTTGAGCAAATGCTGGGGAGTCACTGGAAAGAACTTGCAATGGCTACTTCCCATATTTCTTCCTCTTTATTCTGCCTTTATTCTCCTCTCCAGGTAGTTCAGAGACCTGGGATTGGCAGGTATTAATGTCCTGGGATGGAAAAACAGGGGTTTTGCTTCTCTCTTCCCTCTCCCTGGGGCTGCTGTTCCCCCTTTTCCTTACTTTTTCCCACAACTAGAGAAGACTGGGTTGTTGAGAAATGGAGCAATACATTTGAGGGATGGCAGGGTAAGGGATGAGTGATTTGGAAGGTATAGATAGCATCAGTGGGACGGTGAGAAAAATAAGAGGAAGAAAGTCACTCACTGTAGCAAGTAAGAAAAAGTATCTAGGCAGACCACCTGAGGCCCCTCTTCCAGCATAAGTTGTAACTTTGTAAATGGCTATTTTTGAAAATAATAGAATTTGGGAGAATGGAGGGGCTAATCTCCTTAATTTGCTTCCTTAATTTATTATTAGTCATTAAAAATTTCCAAGTAATTTTGTTTTAATGTTTGTGAAAAGATTTTCTTTAATCTCTAAAACGAATTGCAGAAATAATTCTTACTTTCTAAAGCACTCTGTTTTGCCCTCTTTAAACCATTAGTTGGCAAAATACTTAAAAAAGCAACAGCACAACTACCACGTGTTTCTGGCTGTGGTTTGCATTCACAAGAAAAACATACACAGACTCTTTCTATTACATAAATATTTTTGCAGTTAGAAGCTGGTCTTCTGGATTATGTACTAAGAATTATGCAGTAGTTGGCTCAAAACTCAAACTTCATTTTTTTTCACTTGTATTTGATCTGTGCATTGGCTCTCCATAAAGTTTAGCATTTTTTAAAAAATGGCTCTTCCTTTAATTTGTATGGACTTTAATGGAAGTGACCCAAATATTTTATATTCTTTCCATCCTTGCCATTTGTAGATAGGGAAGCAGAACAAATTAAAGAAAACACAACTCAGTGCTTGTAATAGTAGAGGTTTTTTTCTGTTTTTTTTTTTAAACATATACTGCTATTCTTCAAAGTGTTGTTCATGCAATTTTCAGTCATGCCTTAAAAAAATTAAAAATATTTTGTTCAAGTACGTAGACAAGACTTTCATAATAGTGTTCTATAGAGCTCCTTTTTGCCCAATTAGATATTTCAGCTTGATGGGGAAATGTCTTAATGCCTTGAAGATAGTATTTGTCAGAAAAGGTTAAAAAAACTCTTCATTACTTAATCATTCTTGCCCTTGTTATCCTCATCTCAAGGGATATAATATTTGATGAATTCTGCCTTATAAATTTGAAACACTTAACGATAATGAGGAACAAGTGTCAAAACAAACAAAAGCAAAAGCTCTCTACCAGTGTCATTTCTAGGATGACTATTTCTACAACTTTCACTTGGCAACATAAACTACCTTTTTTTTTCTTTCATGAGAAGATTTGAATTAATAATCTGGCACATCAGATACAGTATGCTGCCAATTCCCTGGGTGGGAGAAATGTAGTTTCAGCCTTAAAAATACAGCAGAGATGATTCATTTACACCCTCAAGCAAAGTTGTGTGTTAATGATTGCCTTTTTTCTCTTGCCATGGTAACTAACTGGAGGGACAACTAATCACATTAAAGAGAGAATGATACAAACCTTGTGTGAGTGTTTGTATTATTTCTGGGAAAGATTTTTACATAACTCAGTAAATTATAAACCTCTTCTAATTTCATAATTGTGCAAGGATATACCAAATGTGAGTACAAGGATGTGTTACCACAGGAAGAACACTGGAGTAGGAGTCAATGCCGTTAGACAAGTCGCTAATGAGGGGAGCTATTCAATCAGGATCCCTGTGTGATCACTGGGTTTCTGACACTGTGCATCAGTGCTGGTATCTCTTTGGTGAGCAAGATGAGCTTGTTCCTTGCCCTTGTGTAGGTTATGGTTAATGTGTAAAACAACTTACATTCTCTGATACAATTTCTAGTTCTGTAAAATGAAATGTCCATAGGTATAGTAGCGAACAAAACAGACACATGGGGAGATAAGTAATGTTATCAGAGGTAACAATTTTAAAAGGGAGGTCTAGTAAGGCTTTATCGAGGAAGTGACATTTGGAGAAAGGAATCCTGGATATTTAGAGAAAGAATTCAGGTAGAGGATTCAGCAAATGCAAAGGTTGTGTGGTAAGAGAGCACAATTGTGTTCAAGCCAACAGCAAGGAGGCCAGTGTGCCTGGAGTACAGCGTGCCTGGAGTACAGCAGAAAGTGGGGGATATCATAGCAGGTGACATCATAGCAGGTGGGGAAGAGAGGGAACTGGAATCAACCCTATAAGGTCCTTCTAGGCCACTTATGGGGACTTTTGCTTTTATTCAAAGTTAGAGGGTTTTGAACAGAAGAGTGATGTGATTTAAGTTTTAAAATAATCACAAGTGCTGTACTGGGTATATTTTTAAGTAAGAAATTATGTGGTTTTTCTTTTTGTACTATGTTTTCTATTCCTAAGAAAAGTTTTCTACTTAATTATATTTTTCCAAAAAGAGAATATGTGTCTGTATGTTTACTATTAGATAATAAAAGTTGACCTAAACCACTTAAGCTTGTATTCACATTAAAAATATCCAAGAGAATTTCAGTAAGTGTAGTAAATGATGGATTGGTATGTAATTGACGGTTGATATTATCTGGATAATATGTGTTATTTATATTTTTTAGCCTTGGAGCTCTATTTTGCGGAATTGGAACTTCTTAGCTGTAACACATCCGGGTTACATGGCCTTTCTCACCTATGATGAAGTGAAAGCACGACTGCAGAAATACAGCACCAAACCGGGCAGGTAAGGCTTTTTGATAGTCCCATTCTGTGATGTAATGATGACCTAGAGTCCTTTCTGATAATTTTCTAAGTAGATCAGTAAAACCCGTGGGGTGGAGGGATGGCAGTGCTAATAACACCACAACAGGGCTTCTTTAGTGAATCCTTCAAACGATACCTTGTGCTTCTTCTGAAACTTAGTGCTCATAAAATGAAAGAAAATACTGTGTAATTTGATGAACTTAGAGATTTATTAGATCTCAGAGTTCTGATTTTCAAATTGGAGTGGAATATTAGCTTATTGACTATTTTCATGATACCCATGTTTGTGTATAAAATTGTATCTATCAACAGTTGAATCCCAAAAGCAAATTAAGCAAACAAGAACAGAGACAGAATCATGGATATGGAGAACTTTTTGATAGTTGCCAGGTGGGAGGGGGCATGGGGGAATGGATGAAGAGGTGAGGAAATTAAGAAGTACCAATAGGTAGTTACAGAATAGCCATGGGGATGTAAAGTACAGTGTAGGAAATGGAGTAGCCAAAGAATATATACATGACCCATGGACATGAACAATGGTGTGGGGATTGCCTGAGGGAGAGGGAGGTGCTGGATGGAAGGGGGCAAAGAGGGAAAATTGGAACAACTGTAATAGCATAATCAATAAAATAGAATTTTAAAATTGTATGTGTATATTTGAGTATTAGTTCCATGTTTGTTTTTAATTTATTTTTCAAGACATTCAGTTTGGCTCTGTGATAAAACATGAGTACATATAAAGACATATAAATACATAAACATATGTAATCCAGTATTATAATCCAAGCCAATTTTATGTCCTTGAGAACTTCCATTATACCCCATGCTTCTCTACAGCCTCAGAATTTATTTTACTTTCCAGATGATAAACTGAGATTCACAGAGGATTGGTCGGTTCTTTTGACTTTGCCCAAGAAATCACACCTTATTAATGGCAAATCTGGGATCAGAAAATGTCTCATTCCTGGTTAATGCGTTTTCCCCACATCTTAACTGGAAATGCATTAGGTACATACTAGCCATTGGTGCTGTGGCAAGTGAAGTGCTGGGTATGGTAGTAATGACAGTGGAGACCCGTCCTTACAGCCTCTCATTTTCAGTGTCCATGAGTGTCCTTATTTTCATATAGGGGTCATTTCATTTTAGGAAGGAATTTGGTTGCTTTTTTTAAGTCTATCTTTTTCTTCTAATATCATTTTTATTGATTTGTAGCGCAAATGGTGCTTGCGTATCTTTTAATAGTCTTTTCAAGTATAGGCTAGTATTGTTGATGCCTTTCTTCTTTGCTATAATGAAGATTTCCCCCTTTTTATATTTAATAATTTGTATGGTATATAAAAAGAAAGCACTGGGTGCAGAAAATGGTCTAACCGATGCTGAAGTCTTCTGTTCAGATTAAGGAGAATTGGTTCTTTTTATGACCATGGCAGTTGGTCACGTATTTTGCACGTTGACAATGACTTTAACAAGTCATTGTGATTCATCCAAGGATCTCCCAAGCCAGGATTTCCCATATTCTTGACTGTCTAGATTGGCATCAAAGTGTTTTTTTTGTTCATGGAGTATGATTTGAAAGATGTGATATGGGTAGAATCCTGCAATCTTACCAATTTAACAGAGAAGTTATTTGGGAAATTATCTTGTTTGATTCTCTGAATATAATAAGGAAACTGAGTCCCTTTTATGGTCTCTTGTTTAAAGATCTGGAGATAGTGGTTGCTTCAGCAGCACATATACTGAAATTGGAATGATACGAAGAAGATTACTATGGCCCCTGCACAAGGATGACATGCAAATTCATGAATCATTCCATAAAAAAAAAAGATCTGGAGATGGCCCTGGCTGGTGTGGCTCAGTTAATTTGAGTGCAGGCCTGCAAACCAAAGGGTCACTAGCATATGCCTGATTTGTGGGCCAGGTCCCCAGTAGAGGGTACTCAGGAGGCAACCGTACATTGATGTTTGTCTCCCTTTCTTCCTCCTTTCCCCTTTCCCTAAAAATAAATAGATAAAATCTTTAAAAAATACTATTTAAGAAAATAAAGATCTGGAGATAGTTAATGACCGTTGGAAGCAAAAGCTGGGTCTCATCACTATTGGAATAGTTTTCTTAATAAAAAGATACTGCTCTTTGGAAAGATGGCTTCCTTTTCTTCCCAACTTGCTTTGTAATGATTTATTCTACTAAGTTTTGGGTAGTTAAAGATGAGACATTTAGTTTGTGGTAAATTATATAATATGTAAAATATGATAGAAATTGAAAATGTGGTTAGAAAAACTTAATGAATAAATCAAATAATTTTGATAAATATTTGCTTTATAGAATATATCTGTTTAAGTGGTCCTTTGTCTTGGAAAATGTTCCAACTCTGGTTTCATGGTAAAGAAAATAGCTGGGCCTTTTCTAAGGACAATTGGGTTCTTCAGGTTGTATTGAATGTGGTATACAACTGGCAGTCATCAGTCTGTGTGGAATTTTTTAATATATATATATTTTAAAGATTTTATTTATTTATTTTTAGAGAAAAGGGTTTGGGGGAGAGAAACATCAATGTGTGGCTGCCTCTCATATGCCTCCAGCTGGTGATGTGGCCAGCCAGCTAGGCATATGCTCTGACTGGGAATCGAACTTGTGACCCTCTGGTTTGCAGACTCATGCTCAATCCACTGCGCTACAACAGCCAGTCTGTGTGGGATTTTTTATATGCCTAAGGATGCTAATAAATGATAGGTTGATATTCTGTTTTCAGGCTGTTTAGGAGAATGTTTATAAACTTTTCTGAGAACTTCTTTTGAAAAGTTCTATAACCAAAGTAAGGTTCTTAGTATTCATAGGTCAGCTTTTTAAAAAATACTTGAAAAAAATAATATTTTTAAATAATAATACAAGTTACTAACAACCAAAACTGCATAATTTTTAAATTATGTATAAAATATTGAATTCCACAGTAGAAACTTGATCAATTGCTGTCTAATATGGACAAATTAAAATTTTACTTATTTATTTTATTACCCAAAAATGATTTATGTCATAGCTATTTCCTACCACCAGCACTTTTATACAGAGTATTCCCTACTGGTAATGGCAATAAATCACTTGATAGTTTACAACTTAAATTATTTTCTCATATAACTGTGGAGATATATAAATGAAATAGTCATTGCTTCTGTTACATTTCAATAAATGGAGAAGTACAACAGTGTTAAAATAATTGAAAAGAAATTTATATCAGGAATTCTAAATGATTCTGTTTATTTTTTTGCTTAAAAACTTAACAAATTATATAGTATTTATATACATTTTGAATGTGATTCAACATATTTTTTTTCATGTTTTACAGCTACATTTTCCGGTTAAGCTGCACCAGATTGGGACAGTGGGCCATTGGCTATGTGACAGGGGATGGCAATATCTTGCAGACCATACCTCATAACAAGCCCTTATTTCAAGCCCTGATTGATGGCAGCAGGGAAGGATTGTGAGTATGAGAAATGGGTGTCAGGGTGTATTCACAGATGAGAAAAACACAGACTGCTCTGTGATGGAAAGAATGGGTAGTGAGGCTGTGACGTGGTTATTTTTTACTTCAAGAGTAGAAGTAGATGCTCCTTTGTTTTTATTGTTTCTCTCTTAAAATAGTCATTTTAAGGTAACTTAATTATTTGAATTTAACTATATATTCTAGCAAATAAATTCCAAACTGAAATGACAATGAATTTATATCTTTTATAGAAAGGAAGTTGCAACTTAAAAGCTGCTTTAAAATAGATGTAAAACTGTACATACATACACACACAGGGGTGGGCAAAGGTAGGTTTATAGTTGTGAGTATGCCGAATAGCTGGTTCTTGTATTATCTACTAATTATTGTATTATTTTCCATATGAATAACTGTAAACCTTCTTTTGCCCACTCACAAAGTGTAGGCAACCTGGTAAGTCCCTTCGTAGTAAACATATCTGTCATTCGTTTAGTCCTATGCCATTCCATCCTTTGGTTATATTTTCAGTGTCACCTCATTCCACTGACTTTATGGCCCTTTGCCTTGCTGAGTAGCACAGAGACATATGTGATTCAGGTTGCTGCAGCATGGATTGTGATAGAAACCTAGCAGGAGATTCACCTGAGTCAGCAGAGAGCAAATGATTTACGTTTTATCTTCTGAAAATAATTTCAGAAAAAGAAAATAAATAAGTGATGGGATTATGTGAAGAAAAAGAATACATTTTTGAAAGTCTTGAGCTTTCTAGAAATAGTTATATAAGAATTGTATGACAAACTGTGGTACTAAGTGTGTTCTCTCTTTTTCTTTTAATTATCATAAATTTGCTCTTCTCAGTTGTCTATACTTTACCTCTAGTGCAGCAGAGATTCCTGTGTGTACCTTTGATGCACTATGATTGCAGGATTTTTGTTTTTAAGAAAATTTGCTTTGAAATTTTAATTTATAAGTAGATGTCGTGAGCGGGAATTCTGTCAGTTGATATAGCTTATTTATATTGTTACAATGCCTTCCATCTAGTATTTTTCAAAAGTCAGTGAAAAATAACAAGTTATCTTTTGTAATCAGCAGTCTAGCCTCTGAACGCCTATGAAAATTAACTTAATATTTACACAAACACTTGTACACACACATTTTCAGGGGAGTCAAATTTTTACTTTAGGGATAGATTACATTAAAAATAGATCAGATGGAAATTTTAATATGATTTTAAAATAGATAAGATTTTTAGATGAGATTAAAATAGATATTATATTAATTAAATCATATTTTGTTTTAAGATCAGTAAAATTAGGGAGGGATACATCTATCTAGACCAGCTGTCCTCAGGGTCAGCCTTTCTAATAGTTAATCCAGTATTGTGTGACACAGGTGATACATTTATTTTGATAACCATCCAGGATTCTTCCTTTCTTCACTGCCCTTACAAGGGGCTCGTCAGTGCCATCCTGTTTAATGAGGACAATAATCATTGATTTGCCCTTTATACATTAAATAAAAAGAGCCTTTTAACCTGTTCTTAACAACCTTATTGTCATAGTTGTAATCTTTTATTTCTGACTTTTTCCTAGAATTTCTGCATGTTTTTGAAGTGTGATATCAAAATGTTATATAATTATTTTTTAAATTGTCCACTTTAGTGTATAAAAAGAAAGTTACTAAAACAACTTTTGCTTATCACTCCTCATTTAGTATTTGTAGACTTTTATTTCACCTCTATAATGACACTCTACATTTGTATCACATTCAGATATAGTTAACTTCTTTTCCTAAATCTTAAGAAATTTATCTGACTGATTTGTTCCTTACCATTTGTGAACTGTCTGTTATCTAAGTTCATTTTCCTCTCTCTTTTTCTGGGTACATTTCAACACTAACATATTTATAGATTCTTCATTTAAGGATAAATAGTCTTTGTTACTTCAGAGAGTAGTTTTAGTATGGTTTGCCCTTTAAAATATTCACCATTGTAATAGTATAGTTTTAGTTTTCATTTAGGCCATCTAGAACAAAAACATACTGAACAAAATTAACCAATACTTAATAAACTGACAAAATCCAGCAATAATACTGCCATTTGAAAAAATCTAAAATAGGCCCTGGCTGGTGTGGCTGTGTAGATTGAGCACTGGACTGTGAAGCAAAGGGTCTCCAGTTCGATTCCCAGGCAGGGCACATGCCTGGGTTGCAGGCCAAGTCTTTGGTAGGGGGTGCATTAGAGGCAACCACACATTGATTTTTCTCTCCCTCTCTTTTTACTTCCCTTCCCCTCTCTCTAAAAATGAATAAATAAAATCTTTAAAAAAACTAAAATAGGTACTTACCAACACAATAAACTTTATTCTAGTCAATTTCTTAGTAAAAACGGTTTTAACATAGCAAGATGGCATTATTACTATAACTTTTATTTCTTATTTCAATTCTCTCTAATAATGGAACTTTATAAATCACTGCTTGTAGCTTGATTTGAAGTAAGTGAAACACAGGGTCGTAACACTTTCTAATTTCTTTAAGTGTGTGTATGTGCACATGTGCATATGTGTTGGGTGAGAGGAAGGTGAGATGGAGACAAAGAGGACGGGAGACTAGAGAAATGGAAACACTGTACACGTGTTTGAGTGACTTCTCGCGGGGAAAGCCATGGGCTTTAATTCCAGTTTTCTCTCCTTGTGTGGTTAAGCATGATGTGAAATGATGCATTTAAATTAACTGTGCTTTGGATGAAAGATGCAGTACTTGCAAAGATACGTATATTCAAAGTACATTGGAATGGAACATGAGGGACCAGTAAAACAAATGTTTAACTTACCTAACAGACACATAGTAAGGGTATTTATTTGAAAACCATTGCTTAGTGGCTAAGTCCATATTCCTTATGTATTTCTTACATGAAAATGATTTCTAGATTTTAAATGTTTTAAAAAATAACTACAGGGTCCAGTACAAATACTGCCCCTTTTTAATTACAAAATCATAAGCATGTAATTCTGTAACATAACAATATCACATTCAAGCACACCATATGACATTTTAGGTGAAATGTTCAAATTAAAACTATAAATTATTACACCCATATTATCACTGTACCAACCACACTCAAGAAGGTGTTACTTCTGCCAGACCCTGTATTATGGAAATAATGATAGAATAGGTTCTTGATATAAGTTACATATAAAAGGAAATGTCCAAATGTATGATTGAATACAAAAGAATGATTAAATAACTTATTTGCAATTAAAGCATCTTTGTTTATAGTAGTAAAGTTTCTGTTTATAATCCAGCTACCTTTATCCTGATGGGAGAAGTTATAATCCTGATTTAACTGGATTATGTGAACCTACACCCCATGATCATATAAAAGTTACACAGGTAAGGACTGTTGGTGCAAATGTGTTTATAATTTATAAATACCTATCATACCTCTTACATAAATAAGATTCTCTACTTGTGCTAGAACCAAAATCATGTACACATACTTAATGCAATAGATAACCCAAGGAATGCTAAAAGTGTTTTAAAGAAAAACACATTACTTTTTCCATTTTTTAAATAAAAAGTTCTGCTGTTAATAGTCTTCCTTTCAATATAATTTTGTTATTTATTTGAGGAGATAGCTAAACCCATAGGCAGATAGGTAAATAAGGCAGAACTGTAGTCTTAGGAAACTCTATAGCAGATTAGGATAATTATGGGCACTAGCTTTTAGAGTTGAATGAATAAGTAAAGCCAATGAAGTTAATAATTATATTCTTATAAGTCCACTGCTGGCAGCCTCATAGATTATGAGTGGGGGTATAACTTGGTAAAGGCTTTCTGGAGAGTGACATTCAGTAATTATCAAAATCTAAATAAAAATATCTTTGACTCTACATTCCATATATTTGTAAGTTGCATATACACACTGATCTGTATACCAGTGTTCACTTTAGCATGTTTCATAAAAATGAAACATTATAAAATACTGAAATATTCTATCATAGGTTAAAAAACATATATTACTCATACTATATTATACCATAAAGTCATTAGTAAGATGGTAGTAGTAACTCTACATTCTCACATGGGCCTCTCTGCATTTTATGTAAAAATGTTCTGTTTAGGAAAAGTTCAGTGACATAACACTTTATTTTGTAAAATTACATTAAGTTCAGTTTAAAGAAATTAACAAATATGAACATAAGAATGTATTTAAAAAAATGAAAATTAAGAAACACCAAACTGGTACCAGTGTTTTAACTGAGGAGGCACAAATGTTTGGGGAGTCAGGGAGAGGAGGAAAGGATCTTTTTACATATAATCTAGTTTTAAAATGTCTTATAACATGTATTTTGTGCTTTGTATAATAAGTAAAAATCTTATAAGAAACAGAAATTATATGTTTGAGGGAAGACAATAGATAATTTTTTATTTTGTTTCTGATTCTTCAGGTTTTAGTCCCAGTGGTCTTGATATTATATGAAACATATTTGCTGACATATGTACAGCTTTGTGGGCAGCTTTTAAAATTTAATATATGATTTCCATTTTTAAATTATGTAGTAATTTTGTATTATATAATATTTAAATATAAAATATTTTACATTTTATAAAATTCCTCTTTATAAAACTATTGTTTAAAAATACATACCCAGGAATATTATTCTCTTAAACGTCTTGTAAATATTTGACTAGCTTGCCCCTTATATTGCATTAAATTCTCCATCTAGGTTCTTAGCTATGGTAATTTTTTTTATAATTGTACATTGGTCAAAACCAATTTGGATGTCAAAAAACCCTTGGATGTCAAAACCAACATAAATACTTAGGTATTTTAGGGACTTCAGTGATTTATGATTTATATTGGGTTATTTTAGATTTATCATTTTCTACCCTGATCCATTCTCCCTTTTATTTTTCCTTAATTTTAAAAATAAATTACTTTTGTGATCACACATACATTTATTATTATGGGCACAACTCACATAGTAATGTATATGTCTATGTATATAAATCTATGCATGTATATATTTTTTTCTCACCAATATTTATATAAGATTTTTTAGTAGGTTCAGCATTAAATATTGTTATTTACTTATCTTAGTACCAAGTACACAGGCACTTTCTAGATTACAACATCACCTTATTTAAACAAATTTTATTTCTGTAATATTTGTATCTCTATTAAACATTTTTTGTTTTTTCTTTACATTCATCAATATATTTATATCTCTTTCGTAAGAGTTCTTTTCAATACTTGAACACTGAAGGTTTTACTGTGCCAAAATGTTCTAAACTAGTAAATCAAGAGAAAGAGTTTTTATAAAACAATTTTTGGTTGTTGAAGTGATTAAGATTAGGAAAAGATCATGCAATTTAGGATTAGAGATTTACTATAGATTTGAGAAAAATTTAAACGAATTGACCCTCAAGTATTTTTTTTAAGTTCAGTATATCTTGTCATGTTTTGGAAATGAGATGACAATAAATGTGGGCCTCCGCACCTGACATGAAGGAAGGGCTTCTTAAATGCTGCTTTTCTTCCATTCTGGGATTTCTGTAGATATCTAAGAAATATAGTTTAATACAGCCAGAATCACGTATATTCATATATATCTGTGTTTTGACAATAAAATTAGGTGAGTATGTGGCATTTACAAAGAAAATGAAGTTAACCCTGGCTGACTTAGCTCAGTGGATTGAGCGCGGGCTGCGAACCAAAGTGTCGCAGGTTCAATTCCCAGCCAGGGTACATGCTTGGGTTCCAGGCCATAACCCCCAGCAACCGCACATTGATGTTTCTCTCTCGCACGCACTCCCTCCCTCCCTTTCCTCTCTAAAAGTGAATAAATAAAAAAAAATCTTAAGAAAATGAAGTTAATTATATTGATTTTTAAAACCGTTAAGTATTGTCTTTTGAATCACTGTGGCTGTCTAAGCAAGTCCCTACAAAATATTAAATATTTCAAAGATGTAGAAAATAGCATATATAATTCTTAATGGAAGCTCAAATATTTTTGAAAATTATTTTGTAAACCAAACAATTATTACCAATTTATAACATGTCTCAAATGGCACCGTGACCCTGACACGATCAAGTGTGAGGATGTGCTGTGAGTCATTGTATTTGAGAAAATTCAACATTAACTGCTCAGGCAACAGACACATTAACATTGCTTTTTTCCTCTTCCCAAATTCCAGGAACAATATGAATTATATTGTGAAATGGGCTCCACTTTTCAGCTCTGTAAAATTTGCGCTGAGAACGACAAAGACGTCAAGATTGAGCCATGTGGCCATCTGATGTGCACCTCGTGTCTGACAGCATGGCAGGTACAGTCAAGGGTTAATCAGCCACGCCAATGTCTCTCTAGTATTTCCTGTCAGCATTTATCTTTTCAGTTCTCTTCACCCAATCATTCAGGAAATAATACTGGTATGTGCTTTGTTTGAATAGTTCTTAACAAAAACTCATGTTTGAGTTTCTTTTAGTTATTTGATTTTTTGTTGAATTAAAAGTTTTATTTTTTATTTTTATTTTATATCCATCACCATTTATTCCCCCTATACCCTTTTCTGCCTGCCCCACTCGCCTTCCCCCACAGTCCCTGCCCCTGAGTCCTTTCTTTTCCTTTTTGTTCATTCCCTCCACCTGCACCCCACCACACCCCCAGAGCTGTCAGCCCCCTTTCTATGTGTCTTTCTCTGTTTTGCCTGTTAGTTTATAATTTGATTTTTTGCTGCACTTTATGTTTTGTTTCTTTTCCATCTATAACTTTATATTAGTCATGAGTAGTTCTACTTCTATAAAAGTATTTGTTTCAGAAAGTCACTTATCCATGTTACACAATTTACTGCAGATCAGATTCTACTTTCCATAGGTCAGATTGTGAAGCAGAGTAAACCCCAGTAGATAAATAATGTGTTAGTGTGTCAGCCACCTCTCTTCCCCTGAGAAGGTGCAGCTCCCATCTCACACACGTCTGCGGGCACTCTGTAAGGCTAGAATGGGAGAATTACGCAGGAAATGTCTCCCAAATGTTTATGGTTCCCACAGAAACCAGCAGTAAATTTTTCAATTTGCAGAAGCAGAATCAAAGATAAACTGCCTTCCCCTCTCTAGGCAAATGTTCAGTAAATGTAAACTGAGTTGATATTTTTAATAAGACCTAGAGAATAACTGGTTTCCCCAAGGATTTTCTTGTATTTCTTTAACTGTAATAAAGGGTGAGATTTAAAAATAGATCTTTGGACAGAATTTCGAATTTTGAGTGGGTGGAGGATTCCCAAAATATTTTCATCAAACCATTTTTAACTGCTGTTTAACACAGCCAATATTGAAGTGAATATTGTTGATGGGGTTTAGAAAACAAATAGTTAAATTTCAATCCTTTTTAAAAAATTGCAGCTGAGTATATAATCAACATCCCCACCCTGGTCCTGAGCCCTCTCAGCCCTTGGTGGTCTCTCCAGCGCAGACCTCTGCCTGGCCTGAGGAAGGGCAGCCCTAGAGCGTCTGTCTGGGAAGGGAATGCAGACTAGAGGAGCGTTGATGCCGGCTGAGCTCATTACTCAGGAATGAAATAGAATGATTTTCACCTGTTCACAATCTTATGCAAAGGGACCTCTTCATCCTTTAGGGATATTTAAAAAATGGGTGAAAAAAAGAGGAAGAACTAGGAAATGAATTACAGTTCAGCTAAGTTTTCAAAGCTATCCCTGAACTCCTGATATCCCTGTTTACTCAGTTAAAATCGTTCAACATCCCTATACTTCTCTCTTTCAATACACCTTGGAGTTATATTTTACTTCAGTTTTTCCTTGATATCCTTGCCCTAATTTCCCTTTATTCTTTCCTGATGTTGGTGGAGCATAGGAGAAATTGGAGGAAGGGGGATGTTTAGTATGTCATCAGAAAGTTCACTCTCATTTTCTGGGCACTTGATTGCTATTTAAGTGTTAGCAATAATAGTTTGCAGACTTAGAAATGTTGTTTTTATAAATGACTTTCAAAAATTTAGCTAAGCTGGTAGAAGGCAAAACTGTTTGCAAATGGGTTTCCAATGCTGCGCTGACTGGGATGGGACTACTTTACGATGCTGTGCTTTACTGGGTACCTGTTGAGTATTTCAGTGTAAGTATTAAACTGACAGAGGTTAATCATGCATGTCACTCCTTTGGATTGACTTATGCCTTCAGTGTGGTAGTATGGTTCTCACAGGTACAAATAGTAAAAATTTGCATTCCTCCCTGAAGAAAACTAGAATTTGAGGCTGGTACAAACTCCCAGTACTCTCTGCCTCCCTGGATGGCCTGTGCATTTCAGCCTCCTCTCTTGCAGCCCTGCCTAGGGGCACAGACAAACACATATTGTGGGACTTGGCATCTTTAACTTGATACTTGTGTTTGGAAGTTAAGTGGATTGAAAAAGTCAGAAGCTCCCATTAGTTTGGCAGACACCTTTGATTAATAAGATTATTGTTTAAAGTGTTGTACAAAAGTGTTTACCTGTGGCCTACTGTGAATAAAAGAGCACAACTGGGCATAACCCCCCCCCCCAATTTTTTTATTTTACTTTCTGTATACTTCCTGAAAGATACACCTTTTAAAATTTCAGGGTCAATGCTATATACAGTTTATTAAAGTTTGTGAACTATTTGCAATAGGAATGTTATATGCAAAAGACATGGGAATTTCCCAGCTGTCACTGGTGTTTTTATTATTCTTTGTGCTTTACATTGGTGCAGCTTTTCTGTATGTGCGTTCTCCAAGCGGTGCAGTTTCTCTTGATAGTAGCTGATCAATTCCTTGATTCACTTCATGCTTTTCAAATTGATCACATGGCCTTCTATGAAGATATGTCCAATCATGGTTGTATATTGTTAACACTTGCTTTTTCTGTTTTACTCTGAAGTACCTCTCATTTCTCAGTTTTATTTTTAGAAATTGGGGAAGTGCATAAATTGCCAAGCACTGAAAACAATCTGAGTAGAATTTTAGGAGAAGCCATATAGGAAAGCAGTAACAGAAGAGTAGTTTGCTAAGTAAAGTAGTAACAAAAGATGACAAATTTATAAGTACTCAGAGGTTGAAATAATAATCAAAAGAAATCACACTCATGGCACCAGTGATTAAAGTTATTAATATCTTAATCTGATCATAGGATTTTTCATATAGAGTAATGAAAAATATGCTAAGGAATTATTTCAGCATTATTTTTAATTCTTCCCACACAAGACAATTCATTATTAATAAGTAGTTTTCTTATATATGCTCCTGTAAGCTCTTCATTGTATTTGTATTGTAAACGTTTGTATATTTACCTTTTTCTCCTCTAAAGCGTGCATTGCTTTACCTATTTTAGAATTCCTGTCACTGAGCAAGCATGCTACCTACCTATGCATTAGTAATTATGACTGAATGCTATAGATTATTTAAATGGAAGAAAAGAAGAAGACTAAGATTACATTAAAGGACATTGATACTGTAGATCAGTTGCACAGAGCCCTTATAATGTTTTAGTTCTGTCCATTTCTCTTCTGAGAAGATTCTGTGATCTTACTAAAGAACTTTTTCATGCTCAAAATCTGAGAATGAATCCTAAGAATTTTAACCATCAGATCAATTTTTTCCATTCGGTAGTTGGGTGATTCCCTTCAACTTTTCACAGTTTGATTTCTTCCACTTATTTTTGAGCCCATGTTATTTTACTTTTATTGCCTGCAATATGCAGAGGCAATAAAGTTGAGTTTCTTTCTTTTTTAAAGATTTTATTTATTTTTAGGAAGGTGGGAAAGGACAGAGAAAGAGAGGGAGAGAAACATTAGTGTATGAGAGAAACAATGATCAATTACTTCTTACTTGCACCCCAGTTGGGGACCAGGCATGCAACCCAGGCATGTGCCCTGACCAACCCACAACCTTTCTCTTTGTGGGACAATGCTCAACCAACTGAGACATGTTGGTCAGGGCAAGACTGAGTTTCTTTTTAGTGCTTTTTTACAGCAAGAAACATGGCATCGTGATCCCTTATTCAAGTTTTCTCTACCCTGAAGAAGGCTGTTCTTAGGCCACGGTTTGAAAGAATTCCAAAGTGATATTCCATACATAGTCTCTGTTATCTCAATGGGATCTTAGTCGTCAAAGAAAGCTTCAACTTTTGAACATTTCTGCTTTTAGGTGATCTGAATGTTTCTACATTTGCATATAGATTTGACACCATGGTGCTTCCTGCTAACCCGCAGAACTGTTTTGGCAGCTTTCATATTGTTGTATGAGCCAGCAGTGTTTGACAATCATTTAAAAATGTGATCATAAATGCCCCCATTACTGAATAAAAAAGTCTTATATAGTTAATACAGGTGACTGACATTACATACTCTAAAATCTTTACATTGTAGCCTTAATTGATGGTGAATAAGAGAAAAAAATTATTGAACATCTTCATAGTTCTGCAATATACTGTCAAACATTGTATCTAAACCTATAGATATAATGGGAAATATATGAGTATTAAGTCTGTGGATATGAGTGCATGTAGTTAAAATGTCTTCTTTGCAACTTTCTCCATATTTAAAATGGTACAGGTTTACAGTCCATATTTTTTTACTTTTAAACCAAGTGTTTTTGTTTTATATGCATATTTGTTTTTTCTTTGGAGAAAAAGTGAAGTTTTTAAACTTAATTATGCACAGGAATAATTTATTTTGCTTTTCCTAACTGGTTTGGTAGAAGCAGACAGGGATTTATTTCATCTGTCATTCTCCACTATTGCAAATCCATTCATTCATTTACTAATTTATTTACTTAGGAAACATTCCTTAAACAGCTGCTATGCCTTGAGTTCTGTACCACCTCTGAGCTAAGAACACTAAGAAACAGCCCCTACCCTCAAGAAGTTAAAATTAAATCTGTAAGTTTTATATAAAGGAGCATGGTATTAATAATTGATTAAAATGAACATCCTGTTATCTTTCAAATTTAATTATGGATAAGATGTATTTTTTGTTACTTTCTCTTACTTTGGTTGAGCATGCTGATAGGGAAAGGATTTTAAAGGCTGTACATCTGCCAAGAAGCTCTTATAAATCAGTCAGGGTACAATTGGAAATATTAAACCCTGACCATAAAATATTATGCCTGTGCGAACATCTAGCAAGTCGTTCTTTGCCAACTTTTCTTCTAGTTGATGCCCTACTTTGTTTTAATTGAAATTCACTGGAGACTTAAATTTTAGGTAATTAACAGAAACCGTAAGAAATGCACAGTAGTAGTGTCAGTTGTTACAGGCTGCAAGCGGTTACTCTTTAATTGCTGTCATAATGGTCCATTAG